AAATCGATACTTACAGAATTCGGCATAGTTTCTGCCGAAATTTAATATTTAACGGATGCGTAAAGGTTATCCTAATTCTCTTTACCAAATAATAATTAATAAAGTTTCTACTTTAAAGCATACATATAGCGTGAGTATGACAAAGGAATCAAATAGAGTATAAGAAAAAGATGAGATATTAATTAGATAGTAGGCGCTAAAGGATCATTTTTCGTAAAGCTAGGATTACAATTTTTTAACATTTCGAACTTTGAAGTTGGTGGAACGAGAGCTTGGATTCTTTCTTCGTCTGTCCCACTATTAACGGTAAACCTATAACAGTATCAATACACATTTATCGCATAGTAGATTTAAAAAAAGTCTCATTTCTCAAGTTTGACTATCAGTTTCTGCAAGTTAAGTTGTACATAGTTTAGTACGATAATATGTAAAGACTGGCGCCAATAATTTTACCTTACTATACTTTATCCGTGTGGTAACGGATTAAGAATACAGAGTGTCATCGCCCCTATTCTTCCCGTGGGTGTAGCAAGAGCCGACTAAGGGAGCAAACTACGTAGGACATCAGCACTGCAAAGAGAAGGAAAACTTGAAACATACGCTTTACCAACCCGTCTGGCCAGAGTGGTAAAGTAGGTCAAAACCTCCTTTCTAAAGAGAGGCCTATGTCCAGCAGTGGACTATTAAAGGCTGTTGATGATGGCGATGATACGTCGCTTTAAATAAATAATGAGAGCATGGTGTTCTAGTAATGTTGCATGGACCGTCAAATTGTGTTCGTTTTTTTTATCTACTAGAACTTACTTACGGCAATACGTCATGTGAGCAACGAATATGAGAACGGTTTATAGTACATCTTAGTGAATATTAAGTTATCCTGCTGCAGTATTTAACCATCAGAGACGTATCCTAGTAACAGTAAATACTAATTCAATTCGTCGCAGCTTTTGAGGACGAATTAAATTAGTACTTTAATAAGCGCGCATTTATAGGATCGACTATTTGTAAACAAGTAATATTCCTACATATATGAAAACCATCCTGTGTAAGTTATCGCTGCAACTATATGCTTAAGAGACTACTGTAAACCGTATCTTTTTCTGCTATGTTTGGAGCTCGAGCCTTGTCTTTTTTAAGGGTTATTTTTAAAGAAAAACTATATGAAAATTTTATTATACCAAAATGAATTCAGATAATCACAGTCTAAATAGACTTACACAATTTAAGAAGGTTAAATTTAAAAACTAAAGTCTGTCGGTACATATTACAATGTTATTGAAAACAGCTTATTCCTATAGAATTTTCGTAAAGAATTTGCATATTCTAATTAAGGTTTTTTAACCCATTTTCCTTTTATTTCCCTTTTGCAAGAAATAATTTCAATAAAATATACAGGCTTTTAAAATGATTTGAGTTTTACTATTTTTCCAAATTCTCTGTATCGACGTTCATCGCTTTATTTTCACATTAAATTTGCGTTAATACAGAGTATGGCTAGTTTTGAAAACATTTCGACATCAGTAGTTAATTTCAAAAGACTAGTCAGTTACACAGGAGATATTCTTTGTCTCCGATAGTACAAGTGTGTGGGCAATAACTCGGGTAAACTCCATATACCTTTACTCTTGTAACTAGATAGGATTGCAATTAGATTTCCGATGGGCAGGCCACGTCTCCCTTGTATTGTTTCTTGACCCCTGTAGCAATTTAGGTGTCTGCTTACTTACCTGAGAGTTAATAACATGCTACCACTGAGTACACACTACACACTGTCTTCCAAGTTACAGGAATACCTAGTTTGGAAGGCAGGGTCTACTTTGTACACCTAATACGGTTAGAATGTGTTTATTGGATTGTACAATTGTAACAAAGGAATTGAAGATCAATAAAGTTATTATTATTGTTACTTCAGTTCGCTGCTTTAGCAAACAGATAATTTAAATTTGGAGAATTCTAATTCTTTTATTTTTAATTTGAGATTGGGACACATTATTTTTAAATGCATTTGCTTAAACTAATGTCGACACTATACAGTACACACATGTATTACCTTCGAAGGCTTAAAATCTCTCAAAATACAACTATGTATAACTCAAAATGGGATGTTGGACATGTTGGACTTAAGAAGGGGAAATAATGGATAACTCTGTTTAAGAGCATTTATGAATTTTTGAAGTGACTTAAGTTTAATGATAGAATTGCTCATAATCTACTATGTACAATGTTCATTATTTAATAAATAATTAACATGCTACATAATTGACATTCAAAACCTTAGTTTTGGTCGAAATTGAATCACCAGGCGGTTTATAGTTATAATAAAAATCAATTACAAATATCAACATTTTATTTATATATCAGTATAAGTACATTCACTTACATTTATAGAGTTTTACAGTATAAAGACTTAGTAACATATATGACACGTATTCTATTCACATACAAAAATATTACCTCTCGTTCAACCATCTCTTGTACTGTCATTTCCATAATCCTCAGTTTAGAAGAACTCCTTCAACTCCGACGCAAAAAGGAGGTATTATAAGTTTAACGTGTATCTTTGCGTCTAAACTAATAGACGGGTATATAAAATTAGTATTTTTGTTTAAGAAGTCAACTTTTACGACACACGACAGATCAAGAGTGAGGCTGAAATTATATTCATATTTGAATATACAAACCCGTTTCTAATCATTAAATGGATGTCTCGGTGGGATAGGGTTTTTTTTTATAATCATTTCACGATCGTCAGACGGGATGCTACTAAACACAGAATGAGATGAGATAAAGATTCGTGACGTGTTCTATCTAAACCAGTAATATAATACTTCTAAATTCAAAAACGTGTGAGTCATCGATAGTGGCTAGTTCAATCAGGACCATCATCATCTTAGGACCGCACCATGTTCAATTTATCCGCGGTGCACAAGCACTACATAGAGTTATAGGTAAAGAAATGCTCGCGTAAGCCAGTTACACACAGATTTGTTTTCTATAACTGATTGTACCCAAAGTCTTCCATGCTAAAACTTTATATATTGGCAGCAACCAACTATAGCCTGACTCTCGATTAATTGAAAGTAGCGCTCGAAAATTTTTTCACTGTTTGCGAGAACGACAGAACAATCGACTGATTAAAAATATTCAGTGCGCAGTGGCTTTTACTGTTGATAAGTAATTCATACGTATACAGATTTCTTTTCATAGTATTAAATGTAATTGATGAAATTAATGAAAAAAGGGACACTCATCTTTGGTGTTAAACTCTGGCTGGCTTTCCTATTCAAAGTTCATATGCGTATGATTAATTGATTATCACTTGTTTTGAAATAACATCATGAAATAAATCTAAAACTGCTTTATAAAGTGTGAGACGCCGCTTGAAAATAAGATGGATGTGATGTTTTGTACATGTAGACAAATACAAAAATGCTATTGGTTTAACAGTTCAAAAGGTTAACGCCTTTTACGTCCCTCAAAAAAGAAAAGGTTCCTAAACTCTCTTGTTTCTGACATCTGAAGTGAAGAACCCGGATTTGGGACGAATTTCTTTAACAAAATCATTCGGATCTTACAAAAAACACCCTTTTGAAAGCTCAATCTTTTCCACCACAAAAAGTTTTAAGTACTTTATTACTGTATGTGGTGTTCATTTACGATATTTAAATTTTACGAATAAGAATAATTACTGTATCAGTTCAGATGTAGGTGACATCTTGAAAAATTGATAGAATATTTTCATGCAAAATTCAGAAATTCGGCATCATTAGCTTTTATAGTTGGAAAATTGTAAGTACATGTAGAGATTATACAATCTTAGTTCTAATCTTATCTTAGATATATAAATAAACATTAAAGTTTACAGACCACATAATATGATATATCTGATTCAAATGATTACACTGAAGTAATATTAAACTACTTTCAAATCGAAAAGTAATAACCACGATTTCACATTGCTTGTAATGAACTTGGAAAATACTATTAAAATTATGAATATAATATAAGATATAATAACTGACCTATAGACTGACTGATTGACTGACTGATTGACTGACATTATAAGCATAAAATGCAGACAATAAGTTCATTATTTCTCATCGCTCATTACTTAAAAAGCATTTATATAAACATAAAACTTATAAATATATATATAATTTAAAATACATTGATATATTTTTAGATATATTTTAATTTTAACACGATTTAAAGCTTCGTTTTCATCTTACAAGTTTTATGTAACATATACATATATATAATTATAACAACAAATTATATAATTGTTCTGTCGTTTTGTGTCGAAATTATACTTTAGTATTTCGTATATATATATAGGTATATATATATATATATATATTTCCATCTACATTATTGTCCGCCAAATGAATGTTCGTAACATTCGTCCATTTATAACATATCATAACTACATGCAGTTACAATCATAGATATTTGATTAAATTTGACATCAAACTGTTTAAGATACAACGATAGTTAACTCTATGACTATTGTAAAAGACAACAATATTACAACAATTACAAGTACAGTTATTTCTACATATTATGTACATGACGTGATAAGTCTTGAAATTTAAGTGTGCGTATTTCAGGTATATAAGTAACAGTGTATATAATATGAAAAACAATAACACAAAGAAGGTAAAGTATATGATATAGACATAGAAAAGGTATGGCAATGATATGACAATACATTGGCTTTTTAACGTTACACTACACATGATACTTTTATTAAACATTTAGACCTTTCACGGATAAATTCATTTCTACGCCAACTGACATCTATACAATTTGTTTCTCTACGTTTCAATATTACTTAACATTGATGTGTATCTTGTGTCCACAGTAAATGGACATACAATCGTTAATAATAATCACATGTACCTACTGTAACCTTTGGCATCGCGAGAATACTTTGTCTACGTTAAATATTTGACGCCGTCTTAATTGATGTTTATATCATCAGTCCTTTGGCTTTAGTCTCTTCATCTGTAAACAAATAAGTGGAATTAAATGTTGAAATCACATGAAAAGCTTTAGTAAGGTATTTACTTTTTGATGTTATTAGTTTTTAAGGGTAACGGTTTATTAAGGCGTTGGAAGGAAAACTTTGATTAGTTTTATCAACTTTAATGATTTTGCCTAAACTGTGTCGCCGCGGTAGATGTGGTGTGATGGATCTCAACGTAAGGGCTTCAGTTACTGATCAGTATAAATATACACATATTTTTATATATACATAATATATATGAGCATCTATTTTTATTTGTCTGGATGTTTCTTTACACATTGTGAACGTTTATATTCGCCGGCCCCGGAGAATAAAATGACAACTGACATTACAATAGTTTTAGTGTTATGTCATATTTGGAGTCTACAGAGCCCAATACATCCATTCAATTTTTTTCGTAATTTTTCTATCGTTATTCACAAAGTTATAAATTATTACAATATTATTCGTAAAATTTTCTGAGGCGCATATTAACGCGAATAAGATTACCAGACACTATTGATATGATTGTTTCATTAAACAATAAATAGCAATAGCTTTTACACTTATATTCTCGTGCAAGAAATCAACGATAAAATTATAAACACCAATATCATTTTATTCTCGTTCAAAAGCTTTTAAGTGCAGCGACTAACATTAGCTTAGTGAACATAGTGATTCAAATGTTAGTGAGTGATGACACTATACACTATCTCGCGTAAATACTCGCACGTGCCAATGTTTGTTTACTTGATTACTGTCTCTTAAAACTTCGTTGCATGAGTATCATAATTCCGTTTTCAAAAGATTTCAAGATTATAAAAGTAATTATCGTGCGTAAGTGTGATTATATTAAGACAATTAATATTATCTTAAAGTTGGCTGTATAATAATCAGAAAACAGTTTCCTCGTCATAATATAGGTATTTTAATATGAATCAAAGGAATTCGAGGATTAATATTATTATGAGAAAGCTCGCGGATCTGAACCATTGCAACGACGGTAAGTACTGTGGTTTTCTTCTTAATATTTTGATTTCATTAAAAATTTATAATTAATCTCTGTATTGGGGAGACTTGACTGCCTCGGATTTGCAGTAGTAGCGTATGCGACTGCTGTTCTGAGGTATCGGGGTCTATTCCCGGGTCGGACCAAATGTTTGCATGACCTGCTTGAGAGGTAAGAGTACTTGAGAGATATGTTTTATCATGTCTGCAAAATTAAAATAATATTATTATTTTCACATAATTTACTACCTGAAAATACAAATAAAGAAGAAACAACGAAGCATCATCATGAATATGGTTTACGTGGTAGGTACCTAAATGTGTTTTTATACTCGTATTCATTTTATTTTTAGCAGTTAAGAACGTCACGTTGCACCGAAAGTTCGAGGAAGCAGCTTCTTCTATGGTTCCCCTTAGCTTCAACGTGGGTTAAGAGTTGCCATCCTCCAACTCACGACTACTGAGCCCCCTCCACCAGGTCAAGGTAAAAACCCGCAGGTCTACTGGAGGAAGTAAATTTGAACTACAGCGTAACTTTTTTGACCTGCTGAACTAGTTTGGCCTATCATAGTTTGAGGTAGTTTTATGAGATATTCGATGTTTTTTTTCTTATCTTGTCTTACAGAATCAACAAAAAAACAATATTGTGAAAATAACGATAAAAAAGTTAATGAAGACTTTTCTCCAGATGTTTCTGAATATGTGCCAAGCCCAAACCGGTTTATTAAAACACCATCAAGTATTGGTGGAGACTCTGATTACATAAAAGCAGCCACTCATGATATTTCCAAAATGGCTTAAACCATTTCAAATATTTCTTTCATTTTAAATTCAGTTTTTTGCATCAGACAGTTTATACGGCGTTAGAAAAAGTCAAATCTGACAAAGGCTTAGTTGATAACAGAGGGCACCATAATAACAGGCCACGTAAAATGCTTCTAATAGTGGAGGAAAATATCATCCAACATATTCAATAGTTCCCTGTAGTCGAGTCACATTTATGTAAGAAAAGATTCTGCCAGACAATATCTATCAGAGCTACTTAATGTGAGTAAAATGTACCGTCTATATCAAAGTCGGTTCCAAGAGGGAAATTATGACTGCCCGATAGCTTCTAAACGGCAATATGAAAACATTTTTAACATGAAGTTCAATTATTCATTTTTTAAACCAAAAGAATACCAATGCTCCACTTGCACTCTTTACAGAGAAGTTGATTCTGTTCGATAAGCGATATTGCAAGATAAGTATGACAAACACCAAAGAAGCAAAGATCGAGTACGTCAAATTAAAAAAGAAGAATAGGAATCCATTGATTCTTCACATACAACCATAGCAATCTTCGATTTAGGGAAGGTATTAAATATTCCATAATCTGCAGTTGGAATATTTCATTATAAGAGGAAATATTCTATTTACAACTTTACTATTTTTGATAGTACTAGACTTAAAGGTCACTGCTATGTCTGGCACCACACAATTGCAAAAAGAGGAGCAATAGAAATATTAAGCTGCCTGTGGCAATTTTTCTTAAGTGAGAAGGAAAGAGGTATGAAAAACATTTTTTTATACTCAGATGGTTGTGCAGGACAAAACAAAAACAGATTTATATTTGCTTTATACATTTTTGCTGCTCAGAAACTTCAAATAAATATAACACATAGATTTTTCGAAACAGGCCATGGCCAGAGTGAAGGCGATTCCATGCACTCTCGTATATACACCGAACAGATTTATGCTATCATTATGAATGCTAAAAACTACGACGAGAAATATATTGTGAAGGAAATGTTACAAAATGAGTTCTTTAACATAAAGGATTTGATAAAAAACAAGAACTGCGTCAATAATGAAGAAGGTCAGAAAATAATGTGGTCTAAGGTAATGGAAGTGTTAACGTTTTACATTCACAGCCATCTATTCTACGCTTTAAATATGATTTTGATGCTGAGTATTCTCAACTTAATGTCGAACAGTGTCAAACAAGAATGTCAAACAAGCTAGAAGCAAGAGAGGTATGAAACAGACAGCGGCTATTACACCAGGTTCTGTGAGTGATTTTCAGTTGAATGTGGCTTATAGGGAACCTTTGCCACCAAGTAAGGCTTTACACGATGACCTTATGAGCTTGTGTAGATCAGAAGCGATCCCAGTTTTCTACCATGCTTTCTACGAATGTCTGACTTATGAAAGTAGTAATTCAGAAAGCCATAGATTTATTGATAATGAAAATCAGGACGACTAATTTCTTTTTAAATTTTTTCTTGTGCATTTAAAGTTAAGTAAAATCTGATTAACATAACTTTATTTTATTTGCTTAACCAGAATAATAGCCCTAAGTTTTATTGTCTCATTATTGATATCCCGTATGAACGAGAATAAAATGGTAAGATACTATATTTTTCCATAATTTAGCGCTGTCAAATAATTGAATATCAATGTAATAGGATATTACAATATTCAATTTGTAATAAAATGACGAGAACAAAATGATAAGTGTGTAATACTAAATTACGCTAACTTTATCTTTTTACTAACTTCTTAAATTTTGAATATCTTGAATTTGATTGATCCAATTAAAGGCTTGTTAAAATAGTTTAAAAGCTTAAAAAATTAGCTTTCATTTGAGTCCTTTTTGGATTATCTAAGTCTATTATCAGACAAGTTATAGACAAAAACTGGTTTTTTATTTTTCCTGAAAAGTTAAGTTTTTGCGATTACCATTTTATTCTCCGGGGCCGGCGATATAATTTTCTTTTTTACAAAATTATATTTCTTACATTGTTTTTTTTTCAGCCATTATGCTCTCCTTAAAGCTTGATGATAGCTGTATAATAATAAATTATAGCAGTAATACATGGTTTCTACCTAAATAGTAGCTGAAGCATAGACATTAAAATCGAGTACTACCCGGTTTATAAATACATTCAATATTTTCTGCCTCATTCTCGAGTTACGCATAACCTCAATTACAACATTATTTACTTGGTAATCACATTGTTTCTTCTAGATAGAAAACTGTATATTCAAAAGTAAGTACCTAAGTCAATTTAGATTTTTATTGCTATTTTTATTAATCCCACAGACTGACAGACAATAGACGTTGGCTTTTTTGTATAATTCTTAAAATAGGCTTTATCATCATCATCATCATCAACAGCCTATAACAGTCCACTGCTGGATATAGGCCTCTCTTTATAAAGGAGGTATCTCTCTATAAAGGGTTTAAAAATAGGCTTATACCTACATAATTATACGTGGAAGAGCTATGCTCTGTCACAAATATGACGACTGGAGTGATACCACAGACCCACAGAAAGAAAACCGATGTCAAGCAACTCGTTCGTTGCTCTTTTTTGAGTAAGTCAGATTACCGGAGCCCAAAGGACGAATGAATGAATGAAAGGACTCAAAGGACGGCAATGCACTTCTGACTCGTGAGCTGCATGTTGCAACGGACGGCGGTAGTTACTTACCACCAGGTCACACTATGCCATAAAAAACCATAAAAGTAACAGAGAATAAAAAAAAACCATTTATTCAAAGGAATCTTAATATCTTCAGATATTAAAATTTGTTTACAAAAACTACGAGCGGAAAGTCCTAAACAGACCTACGCGTGTATAGGGAGGTACCTGCACTAGACATTACATATAATACATGAATGAAACATGAAAAATTCAAGGTTCGTACGGTGTCTTATTAACGACATTCCACATTATGTGATAATATATGAAATGTCGAAAAAAAATTACAAAGCTTGTAATTTCTAAAAAATTTCAACCGTCCTTATTCAATGTCAGATTGCAAGAAAAAAATTCAGCCTCATTCAGTGAGTGAGTGATATTTAACAAAGTGAATGGGTGAAGGTTTAGACTGTACAGATCTGATTATATATAGAGATAAAGTCGTAAAATCCCGAAAATCACTAACAAAATGTAACAATAACGTTTACGTAATTGAGCATTGATCTCCATCCTTTCGAGGACAAATACCTCAGAAGAAAGCACATTAGATGCTGAACAGCTTACATAAATTAAACAAATGAGAGCTATGGTTTGTACAAAAGAGAAGGTTATATAGAAATGTTTGGATTATGGTCGTCGTTGAGCAAATGAAATTGAAAGTAATTATATAATAAAGCAAGATTAATGTATGCAAACTTTGGTGTTCTCGTATGAGAAGAGAGTTTAGTTTACATCGATAAGCTCATATATGTTTTAGAAGCAGCGAATGTAATTCTAAAGGAGATGGAGGTTTTTAAACGGATAAGCAATAAGAGAGAAGGAATAAGATAGAATAGGTAATTAACATGGTCGACTTGCGGTACGGTAAACGTAACCTTATATATAGATATCATTGTCAATTATAAGGTATTCGTTTCTTAATAACAAGATTTAATTAATATTATTATTGTGTCCTAATTATTACTTGTTACTATCTAAGCTACCCTTGAAATATAGACGAATATTATTCTACAAATTCAAACAATTATTTTTTTATTTGTATTCTCTAATAATTAGTTAGAAACTGTTATTTATATATATAATTACCTATTTTATTTGAGAAAACTACTCCATCTTTTGTGTAATAATTGATTATTTTTCTAATATAAATAATTATTATAATAATATGATGGAATAAACCCACCCTTCGGCACTATTATAAGTCATATTGTTTATGGAATTCTAACATGTTTAGTTTGTTTCGCTCAGCTAGTTTCAATAGGAACACATAAGGTACACAATTTGTACAAATTTTAATAAATAAAATTGAAGTGTCTGTTTATAATGTCAAAATAATAGAAATAAAAATCATGATCACACGGTTATTTGCACGATACCTATGCCTAAAAACTAGTTTAAATATTTTTGTTTGTCTATCTGTCTGTCTGTCTATGTATGTCTGTTTGTTCCGGATAATCTTCTAAACGGCTGGACCAAATTTGATAATTTTTTACTACCAGGTAGCTGTCTATATAAGGAGTAACTAAGGCTATTTTTCCTCTCAGAAAAACCGCATAAAATTTAGAGACCCCATGGGCTGCAGTTGCGTATCGCTAAGGCAGTGCTTTTCAAGTTCCATGCTAATGAAGACGAAGGTATCAGCTATTCATTGAATAAGGAGACGGGTCACCTGATGGTAAATGACTACCGCCGACCATATACATCTACAACTTCAGAGTCATAACTACTTTACATAGTCCATTTGACCCTTCCCAGAACATGTGGGGAGGGGATGGGCCTAAATAAATTAGATTTAAATCGGTATCTGATAAACATTCATGAAACGGATACAAAGAACACTCAGACTCAGAACAGCAAATTGTGGATTACACAGTGTTATCTCATGTGGGGATCGGACAACATTTCGACCGAGGTGGCCCCTTAAACCACTACGTCATCATGCGCATTCATACACTGTAAACACCTTCAATAAGCTGAAAAAATTACATATAACACAGGTATCACTAATAATATGGTTATTATACATGAAAATAATACAGGCATTTAAAGACAACTCCCGCATTAGGAATATATCCTGTGTCGCGGGAGACTTTACAAACATACATGAAACGGACACAAAGAACACCCAGACTCAGAACAACAATTTGTGGATCACACAAAGTGTCGTCCCATGTGGGGTTTGAACCCACAACACTCGGCGTTGTAGGAATCGGCGTGGCGACCGCTTAAACCACTACGCCATCCGTGCAGTCAAAATTTTACAACTTACCTTCCATTTAAGCAGCTGAGTCCCGCACTCTGAGCATCATTATTCGGTAAAGTTACGTTGTTCGGTGGACTCTTGTTCAACGGGTACCATTGCGCCACTGGTTTCCGAGGGTTATCCAACATTTGCAGCCAATGTTCACGTCCAATGCCGATTAGGGTGGAGCCGATAGCCGTACAGCCGATCAGTTCATTCGATCCAATCCTATTTTTAAAGATAAAAAGTTTACATAAATACATACATTCATAAACTAAAATGTTACCATCGAAGACCTTAATTTATATAAACAGCTCCTATTGGCTATAAATATTCACAATAATAACTTGCCACAGTCACAGAATGATCACACAACACGACAAATACCGCAACTTGTGCTAAGTTCACTCCACATAATAAAAAAAACATTACTACATTATTAAAGCCGTCTAAGCGCGGTTCCAAGAAATCGGAATAATAAAGTGACAACAGATATCTCTTTTTCGTATTACCCCAAATCCTACTGCTCTATCCATTAAATCAAAAGATGAAAAAGGTTTTAGAAAATTTCCCGAACCCTTGTAAATACACTACTATTGTTTATATATCTCTCTTAAAAACTAATAATATAATAACAATAATAAGATTAGAGACCCGAGCAATGATTGTTGGCATTACCATTCCACATGACCACAATCTCTTGAAAGCTGAAAAAAGATAAACAAGTGAAGTATTTGGATTTGGCCCACGAGATTGGCGACATGTGGAATGTGGATTCGGCAATCATTCTACCGATAGTCAGATCGGCCCATGGATTAATTGCTAAGAGCCTCAACCAACATCTTTAGAGGCTCGCTCAACTGGATTAAGGGCCTGATGCAGAAAGCAGTTCTTCTCGATAAGACACGTATTGTGAGGAGTTTTCTGTCTCTGGAGTAGATACCAATGGAACACTATTTCTTATATTTTTAAATGTTTTTTTTGTAGAGAAATGTATTTAAAAATGTAATTTATATATACATACTCACATACTTTTTTGTAAATACATAAACACTATACATAGAAACACCCAGCAGGTAAGGGTTGCTTATAATTTATAAAAGTTAGCATTAAAAATGATGACTGTATTAGTCATACTATGGTCACACTTAATTATCCAAGTAGCCTGCTAACGAATTTTATCGTCCCTGGATAACAGTCACCCACAATAGGCTGATAATTTAAAACGTTCTTCTTTTTTTTATTTGATTAATAAGCATACAACTATCGCGCATCCAAAACCATTAAGTAACGTCATGAAAAAAAATTATAATACTCGTTATTATGTACTTTTCATCATTGTTCAAAGCTTTTATTATAATAGTAATGGAACCGCACGTTAATACACATTTTGATGGGTTATTATTATATTTAGTATCACTAATAAAGGCGGAGCACTTTTAATGTGTTCGTCCGACTTCATGGGAACTATTCATTAGTAAAACAGGACCAGCATTACCAACAAAGAGATAATGTTGTTTAAATAGGATTTAGTTTATAGAACAGGAGCAAAAGATGTTTAAAAATATAGATCAGTCTTGGAAATAATAAAAGTAATTGACTTTTTTACCATTTGACAAACTTTTAGTAAGTTTCATGTTGCTTACATGACACTTACTAAAAGTTGCTTTACTTGGAGTTTTTAGGATATTCAACTGAGTTCAGAAAAATGATGGCGCGCTCCGACCCTTAAATGTATGTTTGTATATGTCCACGGTTTTCCCAAAAACCAGTGACTAGACTTGGATAGATATATAAATGAATATTTTTAATTAAATGTTCCTTCAATTTGATGACGTTCATTTGTACAAACTCAACTATTGACTTCCTTTTGACAAGTAAGTCATTATAAATACGTAGAGGTACCATGTGATTGATGCTACTTCTGAGAGAATGTCTAACATCATGGAAATGGCATTGACCTTTTGAATAATTTTTGCACGGGATTTTACTGGGAATCCGTTATACAAGAAAAATCCGAGAATTTTTATGTTATGAAGTTTTAATATTTATCAACGGTAAATTATAAAGAAGTGTCTAAAGGAAAAAATAAAATTCCTAGTCTATCTGTATTTATCTTTTGAAAACTCTGCATGAATCAAAGTTATACCAATTTTGTTTATTTTATTTTTTATAATATGAAATCAAAAGTTTAGCTATTGAAATATACTTTTGCTATTTTTTTCAACTTAAGAAATTATCCTTTTGAAAGTTACGAATTATTATTTTATTGTAAAATACAAAAAAGGGAGACGAAAAAAGGTATTGTTCGCACAGGGAGTACGGAGGACATCTTTCGAAGTGAAACATTAAAAACAGATAACTCTGTCTACGCAGATGACTGCACGAACGGTGTGGTGGTTTAAGCGGTCACCTCGCTGCGTCCTGCTGCGCTGAGTATTGTGGGTTCGATCCCCACAAGGAACTACACTTTGTGTGATCCACAAATTGTTGTTCTGACTATGGGTGTTCTTTGTGTCCGTTTCATAAATGTTTATGAAGTCCCCCGCGGCACAGGCTATTTTCCTAGTGCGGGAAATGTCTTTTTTTTCATAATAATAAGAATGTTAATCCATTGTTTCTTTAAACAATTACTATTTTGGTAATTAAATAAAATTATTATAAACTACTAGCTGACCCGGCAAACGTTGTATTGCAAAACAAAAAAAAAATTAGGGATAGGTCACCATTTAGGGGTATGAAAAATAGATGTTGGCCGATTCTCAGACCTACCCGATGTGCACACAAAACTTCATGAGAATCGGTCAAGCCGTTTCGGAGGAGTACGGGAACGAACATTGTAACACGAGAATTTTATGTATAAAATTAGCTCTAGTTATAAACTATTAGCTCTAGCTAGATAGTGTGGTATACAAGGAGGATAAATAAAAAAATGATGACTTTATCTGTACAGTGAGAAAGACTATTACCGAGGCTATGGAAAAATAACTCTCAAGTGAATGAACAAAGGGTAGTTTAAGTTTAGAATAAGAATTTAATTTATATTAATACATACTCCATCATGAAAACCGCTCCGTAATAAAATCTTACTCTGTGATGGTTTTTATTTAAGGTCCAATCATTTTATAGAAAAACATCATTCTGTTCTAGGAGACTGTGTTATACCGTGATTTAAAGGCTTTACAATATACATTATACTAGCTGACCACGCATCTTCGTCTGCGTCTCACAATAAGAATAAAATTTCCTCGTTTTTGCAGCATTTTTCATTGATGCTTCGCTCCTATTGGTCAGCGTGCGTTATATAGCCAATGGCCATCCTCGATAAACGAGCTATTCAACACTAAAATAATGTTTGAATTCCAACCTGTATTGCCAATATTCAGCGCGTATAACCAAACAAACGAGTTAACTCTTCTTCTTTATAAGTCTATTTAATAGATATGAAAAAAAAAAAAAAATATAAATATATTAGTACGAGTATCGCGGTTCCATTCAAACCCAGGACAAATATTGTGTGATGAACGCGATCATTTGTTCTGTGTTTAGTAATTGTAATTTACCTATGATATGTATGTATTTAGAAATATAATATATAAGTATGTTTATGAGCAGTTTGGTTACCATAATATAGGATCTGCCTAGTATGGGATCAGATGGCCGTGTGTAAGATGTATGAAATTATTAATATATATATTTATTTGTAATATTTATGTATGTATGTGTAACAATGTTTTAGAACCCACAGTTTATACTATAGTCAGATCTATTTATTGTGTATTACACATATTATGTGTAATAAATCCTCTAATACAATTACCAGTAGTACATAAGTACTTACCTGTCATAATCAATGACTTTGACAAGGAGTGTAGTGTCAAACACGTTCTCCGAAGGTAAGTCAAAGACCAAAGCTTCATTATACACCGGTGTAAGCGTGTTCTTTTTGACAGTAGTCTTCTTTTTCTTGATGCGTTTCCCTTGGCATATCAAGCAGATTTTCACGTATGGATCTGTTAACAAACAAATTATGACTTATATAGTTTGAAAATTTTCATACATTACGGTTTCATATAAGCTAATCAGATGTATTTAATATAATATAAATGAATATGACATCGATTTGTACTTAATACACTGTGTCGCTACTTTAGTGGTTTAAATTTCATTGTTTGTACTATTATTCCTTATCACACACGTTTAAAATTGAACAAATGTTTGCAAAATAGCCTGCTACTACTTGCTTTTTGCGTTCTTTTGTTTATTGCGTTTTAATTCCTTATCATGCACCACAATACTCTCCCCAAGGATGATCCCCCCTTAGAAAGGAGGTTTTGGCCTACTATACCACGCTGGCCAGACGGGTTGGTACAGGGTTTGTTTCAAGTTTTCCTTCTCTTTGCAGTGCTGTTCTGTTTAGTTTGCTCCCTTAGTCGGCTCTTACGACACCCACGGGATGAATTGGGGTGGTGACAATTTGTATTCTTAATCCGTCACCACACGGACCTACATTAGAAAAACTAAAAACAGAAACTAATAAGCATAGATCATCTAACATAGGATTTATTTACAACATGTAATTTCTGAACGCTATTGTCACGCCCCGGATACGTGTTCAGATTTCTGTAAATTAAAGTAAAAATTTGACTTAAAAATGATAGACAACCATGGGAAAGATATGTTTTGGTTCAAATTTATTTATAACTTGGCGGACCGGCAGCTTTGACAAATTTGCATCAATTTGCCAATTATAGATCCCCCCGTTCATATGACCAACTCAACCGCTATGATACCACAGCCTACCATAAAACCGGTATTAAGTATTCAAAGAGCGATAACGCACTTGTATCTTATGAGTTGCAGTCGTGCATAGGCGCCGGTAGTCACTTGCCATTAGATAACTTGTTTGCTCGTTTGCCCTCAATACAACAAAAAATGGCGTTGCCAATGATAACGTTAGTTTGTAAAATAATGTTTTTGTGTTCTATTGCATTATGGGTTTACCAAGACTACTATTTACTAATTGGTTAGTATAACAAACGAGATGTTTGCAGGAAAATCATTTTGCTTTGAAGTAATATTCCATGGCTGCCCAGATCTGGACTACAAGACATAGTTCTATGAAAGTATATAAGTTCAATTACGATTAACCAGTTTAATGTCCGAGAAACCGCTATTTTATGTGCATTACGCTAGTAGTAGTGTCTAGTGACACAGAACAAATGACCGTGCTCATCACACAATATTTGTCCTGGGTGGGAATCGAACCCACGACCTCCGGCTTAGCAGTCAGGGTCACTAACCACTAGACCAACAGGCCCTTCAAGTTTTGAGGTTATTAAATGATTTATATCTACATTTATTTTCCTAATAGTTAATATCCTACTGCGTTATAACCTGCTCACGCTGCGTCACCGTCCCGCCTCTGGTCGACGACTAACCAGGCCTTAAAGGATGTGTTTACTCATTAAGACAGTCCAGCGATTACAACAAGCGACAAATGAAAGATGAGATTGTGGCGACACCCAAATACAAAGAAACAGAAAAAGCGCCATCAAACGAAACACAACGAGCTACGGAGTAACTGCTAATCCTGTATCGCGATATGAAGAATCCTCATGCGGATTACCATATATACAACTTCTCAACATCAACCGTTGGGCCACGGCCCGCCCGGTATGATCACCTCGACTGGTAGGAGGATCCTCTTTTTGTATTAGAGGGACATGACACCCATTCCTCCACAGTGGTGACCCTAACGTGATTGGAAGCAGCCTTTAAAGAAGATCCGCAGCAGCACCTACGCCACCATCGTGTACACTCCAACAGCGATGAGCAGTAATCAAGTCTCAGCCAACCAGCAACCTCGGCCACATCAGGGATACTACACGCAGGTAGCGACCGCTCCAGCCTGGTTACCCCTACGGCCTCATCAGCGTCTAATCACAGCACACTGCACCTACGGTATACGTAAGAAGAGCATGTCTCTCCCGTCTAAGCAGCAGCCACTACGCAACAAAAGCCCCGACTCACTGGGGACCTCACCGCAGCAACGCACCGCATAAAACCGACTTACTGGGATCAGCGGACTTCAGTCCCGACCCAATGGGACTAGTGGCACTCAGTTCCGACTCACTGGAACTAGGGGCACTCAGTTCCGACTTACTAGAGCTACTCACTCCTAGAACTGGCACGCTCCAGAACAGAGCATAGACAGCTGACTCATCATAAATCGACCTCCGGTCTTGGAGGGGTGTGGTGCTTCCAAAATAGAATGAAGCGAAGAACACCGAACTATGGAGTAACTGCTAATCCTATATCACGATATGAAGAATTCTTACTCGGATTAGGATATATAGAACTTCCTAACATCAACCGAGGATCCTCCCTTTGTGTTGGAGGGACATGACATCCGTTCCTCTACAAGATGAACTTCATACGAGTGTTAGCTTATTTGTTACGTACTTTATTTCATTTCTGTTAGAACTGATTTAGTTAAAACATAATTTAGAAGATAAGAGATTAAAATATGACGCCTATTGTTAAAAACGATTCCACGTACATCACAAAAGAAAGGAACGCATACATATTATATTAAATAGTAAAAGGTACACTACAAGTCAGTTTATATTTAAAACATGGAAGTTAATCAGACAAGGAATCATTACTTTTAAAAGGTTAGGACAATACGTCTTTATTTTCTTTAGCAAAGATCAATAAAATATCAACGCTTCAGATTTAAAATGCCATTCACAGTAACATAAAACATTAATGGCATGTACAACGTCGCTTTATGGCATTATTTAACACATTCTAAACAGTTAATTACTTTGAAGCATTAGGCATTTCTCGTCTAACAGCTTTTTAGTAGTCGATCGAGGTTCTGCCCAGAAATTTAACATGAAACATACTTGCAAAGAAGGTGATGACATTAAAGGAACTTTAATAGCGCTTTTTTTACTTCCACACCCAAGTTGTACCTTTAAATCTACGTCCTCGGAATCGTTTTTGTTACATTTGTTTATTTCATTTGCTTTTTCAAGTGCGATTACATTCGCTATGACAGAGTTTTGATTTTCATTTATCTTGAGGACTAGTTGAGCTTCCTCATCTTTTATACTTGATTTTGACTTTTGACCAGTCTTTTTAAATTGAATCGCTTTTTTATTCTGAGTAGTACTGACGACAGATGGGGTTACATGTGAATGTTGAGGAGTTTTAGACTTTGTGTTTAAGTTTCGTTGCTTTGCGGGTACACCTGCTGCCATTTTTTTGTCAAAATCATCTTGAACAGATTTTCGATACATCTTTAGACGATTTGCCATTCTGACTTTTTCTGATTGCCTTTGAAGGCTTTTAGCTCGATTATATGGTGATTTATATTGTTCTATACAAGGTTCTATCATTGTTTGTATTGACTGTCGTCGTGAGACTGAAGCATCCAAAATATCCCTAAGATTAATAAGACTTTGGTGTTGACTACTAGATGCAAATTCAAAATCTTCTTCAAATGATTTATCCATATACATTTGTATATCTTTATTTACAATTTTTTTGTAATACGTATCAACATGAAGTTCATGGTTGACAAAATCTGTTAACGAGTTATCCTTTTCAGTATTTTTTTTCTCATAAATATACGGTGACAATGCATTTATTTCCTTATTATCTATCTTTTTATCTACGTAATTAGATGCTAATTGTTTCCTAAACATCTCCAAATATGTAGGTCGCCTTGCCTTTTCTTTATCACGGAGTCGATTAGCTTGATTTATTTCTTTCTTTTGAGACCTACTAGTATTGTTCATATATCGTTTTGGACTGCAGTCAACATTGATTAGCACATCATTTTCGTAAAAGGGTACAAGTATTGTATCGATGTAATCATATTTGAATTTTGCGTCACTGCCGTATTTAGAGCTTGTCGACCCATTCAAGGAGACATTTACATCAGTACTACAGTGTTTTTCCATTGGGTGTGGAAATATATAATTTAATATTTACGACGTATTGTCCACCACTCACTCATAAATGTCAATGATTATTATAGACTAATAAAAGTTTTTACCTAAAATACTTTTTGAAGTGTGTTTATGGCAAAAAATAAACCTCTTTTATGCTTCATATTTTTGAGTTATAATCTCCTTACATAATCAAGGGACTAATTTACGTAAATAACATCCATACCTATATTAAAAAGGTAAAAGTAAGTTTGTTAAGTTTTCACGCCAACATTGAACCGATTTTAAAAATTCTGTCACCGATGTAAAGCTACATTATCAGCGAGTAACATAGGTTATTTTACCGTGATAAAAGCTAGTAATTAATAATATTATTTTAATACTACCCACTATAGGATTAGAACTTTCTTTTCTTTTTTGGGTGGCCTTACCCACCGATACCGCAATGATTTAATCAAAGCATGTTAATCCTTTACGTAACTATATAAGATTTTTTTAAGAACTTTAATCGTCTAGTCTAGACTTTCCTCACTTAATGCTTAACCTAATCTGCTAGACTCAACTCGATGTCTGAGGTAAAAGGTCAAGTACTACTGACCTCGCTAGACTGATAAGTAACAAATCACACATAATCTATGGTATCTAAATATAGACTGTAAGTTTAGGAAGCTATGTAAGCCCTGTAAAATAAATATTGTAATACACACCAGTAAAGTCAGCATTGGTGAAGATCGTGACGTGCCCTGGGTTTCAAAATAGAGCTAGAACAACAGATACTTTCTACGCTGTGACAATTTGTTGTATTTTCAGTTTTGTTAGTATTACATTAATTAGATAACATAACAAATGTTCGGGCACGCCGTCATCGTGGCGGTAAGACCCGTTATGGAGGATTGGCTCGAGAGGCGTCACGGGACCCTCTCATACAGACTGACGCAGGTGATCACTGGGAAAGGATGTTCACGGGGATCACCTGTGTCTGATCCGCAAGGAGTCAACGCCTGAGTGCCACCACTGCGATGGCCAGACCGTGGACACGGCTCTCCACACGC